GTACCAGTACAAATAAAAATAAAAATTACATGCAAGAATAAGAGTTCAGACAGGGAAAAATTTATCTGCAACCTAAAGCTACTAGAGTGGTCAAGACTCACCTAGATTTATATATACTTATACAAATCTAGGTAAGCTTGATCTAAATTGTATAAGTATTTTATAAGAATCTATAAAATATAGATAAAGAATAATTTGTTTGAATATAATAATGTCTGTGCTAATTAATTATATAAATGTATATAGATATTAATAAGGTAGTAGAGTATAAAGAAGTTGTAAAAAGTAGATCAGGTATTGTAGTAATCATGTAGTTGTACGGTAAATATAGTATAAGTAAGGTATCGAAGTTATAATTTAGTATATAAATAAAGTAATATGAAATGTAGTAAATAAAGTAGGATTGGATTGTAATCAGTAATAGTAAAAGAGGTATATTGTTAACCGTTTATATAAATAGCAGTAATAAATAGTTATTGCATGCGAAGCATGAAATAACTGTAGTATTTTATGGACGATCTTGATTGGTCGGTGATCTCAGCTGGTATGGCTAGGTCACTGTACAATTAGAAAGAGAATATAAAATACATAAAGTATCATGTGCTTGCACACTTTTCTAGTAAGTGAAAGAGCCAGTAGATTTTAAGCACATGATACGACAGTTATTGCTACGTAGCATACAATAACAGATTTATTTTTTTTTACAACGATCAGTGGTTCAAAAATTAATATGTATTGTGTAACACATTATACTTTGAAATAATAGTATAAATAGATTTTCACCTGACAATTTTTTTTAGTGCTTTTAATACTTTCGCTGTGCCCCCAAGAGTATATATTTTAAATTTTGAGGTCTGTGCCTCTTTAATTACATATCTGAATTGTGTACGCCCAAATATACATTACAAAAGAGGTTTTTTGAAGCTGACGAAACTTCAAGTCTATTGTACCTGAAAGTGTTGTTCCAAGTCTTTTAATATCTACCAACGCTATCTCAAGTCTGTAGTACCTACCAACACTGTCTCAAGTCTTTTGGTACCTATGAATGCTGATCCAAGTCTGTTGCACCTGTTAATGCTGGTCCAAGTTTGTTGTACCTGTCGGTGCTGCTCCAAGTCTGTTATATTTGCTAACGCTTATCTGAGTTGCCTTGATGGTATGTTATAGTTAAATATTTAGAGCAAAATTTTTATATTATTTAAAATAACAAAAAAATAATTTAATTTACATTAGGAAAAAAAAAATCAAATACTAAAGTGCATGGCAATTACTTACCTACTGATAATGAAATCAATGAAATAATCAAATCTTGTATTCCAGAAAATACTCGCAAGACTACACAAAAGTGGGTAAAAGCTCTAAATAGGTGGCAGAATAATGTTGGATATTGTTATAGTATCAAAATGGTCACTAGTAAAGACCAGCTTGAAAAGTAAATGACAGAATTTTTCTGTGGTATATAAAAAATTCAAGATGGAAGCGATTATAGTCCCTCTTCATTAGTTAATACTTATAATTGTTTAAGTAATTACATTTATAAGCATCTTGGTGGTAGTCAAAATTTTGTAATTAACAATAAAAGTGAATTTCTTTATTGTGGGAAGTTCTTAATTGAAAAATGAAAGTTCTAAAGCAATCCGGAAAGGTTACCAAGCATCATGATCCATTGTCACCTGACAAATTAAAGACAATATTTAATCATAAGACATTATCAATTAATACAGCCAAGGGGCTTCAATATCAGGTGTTTATGTGGTGTTGTCTCCTTTTCGCTCTACGTGGTGGTGAATATAGTCAAATGAAGGTTACACAGTTTACTTTTCTTAGTAATAGAGAGATTCAGTTTACAAAATTTTCTCAGAAAAATGACCCCGGTGGTATTGAAGAAAATTTGGATTCGCTTATAATACCAGTACCTGCAGATCCTAAAGGGTATTTAGGGCCTGTTCACGATATTAAGTTGTATTTAAACAAAAGACCCACAAATCGTGCATGTCAATTTTTGCATCTCAAAATTAATAAAGACATTCATGGTATTTTTTTTTTTATTTACTTTAATTGATATATTATTTTACAGTAATTTATAATTATTTAATATAGAATATAATAATGGCAAGTGGTATCTTGATGTTAAATTGGGACAAAATTCATGTAATAATTTTATGAAAAATATTTGTTTCAATGTTGGAATAAATATCAAAGATTATGATATCATTAATCACTCGGAAAGAACCACACCAATTACATACTTGTTTCGTGAGGGTATTCCGATTGTTACCTTGATGTCAATAACCGGCCATAAAAGCGAATCATCATATCGTATATATTCAAGGCCAAGTGAACAACAAAAAAAAGATGTCTTGTCTACATTGATTAGTGTTGTTGATCTTTCAGAATCTCAGGATAATGATGGTGTTAAAGATTTTTTCAATAAAAAACAAGATCTGGTAAAGTTTTCGATTATTTTAAATTAAATTTCATATATTTACATATTAAATATATATTT